GTTGGGAATCATAGGCATAGTCACTACACTCAGCCTGCCAGGAATTCTTGTGTGTGTGTGTGTGTGTGTGTGTGTGTGTGTGTGTGTGTGTGTGTGTTTGTGTGTGTGTGTGTGTGTGTGTGTATGTGTGTGTTTGTGTGTGTGTGTTGATGACAGGGTTTCTCTGTGTGGCCCTGGCTGTCAGGGAACACACTACCAGTTCTTGTTCCTGAGTGCTAGGATTAATGGCCTGCAGGCTGGGCTAGGAATTCTTTGCATATACCAGGCAGATAAAGTTTTACCTGCTCTTCATCATTTTGGAGTGTTTATCTGTTACGTTGTTGAAAGTTTCCTAGACCACCATTTTGCAGTGCTGGGGCTCAAACCCAGGGCCTTGTGTGTGCTAGGCAAGCACTCTGCCACCTAGCTAAATGCCTAGCCCAGGAAACTCTTTTGAGGTTATGTATCTTTCCTGTTTTTCACCGCCCCACCCCCCAGCAGTGATTGAGATTAGATCTCTCTCTCTCTCTCTCTTTCTGTATGCTGAGGGTTCACTTTCTGCTTGTAAATGAAGGCTCCTTTTCCTCCTGCAGGTGCAGCCAGCGTGGCCCGGGCCTGGAGCGCAGCTTTTGACAGCCTCATAGGGAACCGCATCTCCCAAGCCCTGCAGCATGCCATCCCCATGCAAGTGCCCAGCTTCCTGGCCGAGTATCCAGACTTTTTTGCATTTGGCCTGGTTTTGCTCCTCACTGGTGAGACAGGCTGGAGAGGGGCTGTCGGCGTCTGTGGGAGGATGGTGGCTGGCGGAAGTTGTGAGACGCAAGGCACGGGAGGGCAGCGTGAGGAGGCAAGGGCTTCCCCTGTACTGGGAGCTGTGGGTGTGTGGTAGGAGGCTGGGTAACAGCATTCCTAGCTTTCCACCACGGGATGTATGAGGTACGCCCTTCCTCCGCCTCAATCTTCCACTGAGACCCATCAACATGGAATTAACCTCTACTTCTGTAATTACATTTATTTATGTGTATGCATGCATATGGAGGTCACGGCACAAACTATGGACTATGGCCCCCTCTACCATTTAAGGGCCTGGAGACGGAACTCAGGCTGCCAGCCATCTTGGCAAGGCTTTTTATTTTTTATTTATTTTATTTTATTTTATTTATTTTTTATATTTTTTGGTTTTTCGAGACAGGGTTTCTCTGTGTGGCTTTGCACCTTACCTGGAACTCCCTCTGTAGACCAGGCTGGCCTCGAACTCACAGAGATCCACCTGCCTCTGCCTCCCGAGTGCTGGGATTAAAGCGTGCGCTACCACCGCCCGGCGGCAAGGCTTTTTACCCGATAAACCATATCGCAAGCCTTTCTGCTGTATGAAGACCAAATTAAAAGAAAAAAAAAAGATTTACTTATTTCATGCATCTGCGTTTTGCCTGCATGTACGTGTGTGCCCCAAGTATCTGCCTGGTGGCATGGCGCTGGTGCTGGAGGCATTGCATGCCCTGACGCAGGCGTGATGGATGGTGGTCAGCCACGTATGAGTACCTCTGCAAGAGCAGCTGTTACTCTAAAGCGATGAACCATCTCTCCCGCCTGAGATTTTGATTTTGACCCACGCTCTTCCTTCCTTGGTGGCCGGTTTGGTGAAACTGTTTAACTCCATCACTTGCGTGCTGGTAGTCCAGGTGTGTGCCCCGGCAGCCGCCTTAGGATTTCTTTTCACCGCCTCCTCCCCGTTCGTCCCGTCTGTCTTCCTGCAGGAATCCTGGCCCTGGGAGCGCGGGAGTCAGCCCTGGCCACCAGAGTGTTCACAGGAGTGAATCTCCTGGTGCTGTGCTTTGTCTCCCTCTCCGGCTTCGTGAAGGGCAGTCTACACAACTGGCAGCTCACGGAGGAGGACTACAAGCTGGCCGCGCTGGGGTCCAATGGCACTGACAGGTCAGGGCCCCCGAGGACACGGCTAGCTCAAGCCAGGACCATGTGGGGAGTAAGGGGTCTGGCTAGTGGGTCCAAATGAGGCACATAGCAGCCCAGAACTGTGGGCCAACAGAAGGGTACAGTGGAAATTGCCTATAACTCATTTTACTTACTTACTTATTTATTTAATTACACTCATATTAATTACATTTGTGGTATTCATTGATTACATTTGTAGTATTTATTCAATAACTCTTTATGATATTCATTAATTACACTAATTGCATTGATTATTACATTCCTGATATTATGTCCTGATATTACTGTCTGTTTGTGGGGCTTTTCCATCACATAAAACAGAAATTCTGGCCGGGCGGTGGTGGCGCACGCCTTTAATCCCAGCACTTGGGAGGCAGAGGCAGGCGGATCTCTGTGAGTTCAAGGCCAGCCTGGTCTATAGAGTGAGTTCCAGGAAAGGCACAAAGCTACACAGAGAAACCCTGTCTCAAAAAACCAAAAACAACAACAACAACAAAAAACCAACACAGAAATTCTGTACTTAGGAAATCATTGCTCTATATTCCTTTCTTCTTCATTTTGAGATAATGTCTAATCTTTCTGTCTCTATGAATTTGTATATTCTATATATTTCATGTAATACAATTCTATAGTATTTGTCCCCTTTTTTTGAATGTAAAAACATTTTATGTACAGATGCAGGAAAAATAATACACAGATAGCTTGAACATAAAAGCAGGTTCTTCTGTATCCCAGAATCTAATCAATATTTATATGTATAATTCAGCTATTATTTGGCTTTAAAGGGCTTATTGGGAAATGTTATCATTTTTACTGTTTTCTACAGAGAAAATATTTTCCAGTTTCAAGTGACCCTTGAATTATTTTTAAGACTTGTTTATTTTATATTTTGTTTTTTTTCAAGACAGAGTCTCACTATGTAGCTCTAGCCATTCTGGATCTCCCTATGTAGATCAGGCTGGCTTTGAACTCACGGAGATTCACTGGCCTCTGCCTCCTGAGTGCTGGGATTAAAGTCGTGTGCCACTATGCCTGGCAATGTTTCATATTTGTGTGTGAGTGATGGCTGAAATCTATGTACACGCACCGTGTGCATGCCTGGTGCCCATGGAGGCCAGAAGAGGGCCTTGAATCCATTATAACTGGAGTCAAACATGGAGGTGAACTACTGTTTAGGTGCTAGGAATTGAACCCAGGTCTTCTGGAAGAGCAGCCAGTGCTCTAAGCTGCTAAGTCATCCCTCTGGTCCCCTTTACAGTGTTTTTTGAGTCAGGTATCATGGACTGCAGCCTGGCATCCAACTCACTATGTAATTGCTTCCACTTGCTAAGTGCCAGGATTACACATGCGCTGTGCAGTGTTGGGACCAAACCAGAGCCTCATGTACACTAAACACTCACTCTACCAACTCGGTTACACCTTGGCATCCCTTGGCCGGGATCCTCACTGTTTTTGTTTGTTTGAGACAAGGTCTTGCTATGTATATGTAGCCCAGGCTGACTCCTGAGGTATGTGGTCAGAGTTGGCTGTGAACCCATGATCCTTCCGCGTCCAGTTCCTGAGTTCCGGGATTTTAGGCATGCGCCCTGTTGCCCTGCAGTGTTTTCTTCCTTCCTTCTCTTGCTACAGCTTGGGTCCTCTGGGCTCTGGAGGGTTCGTGCCTTTTGGTCTGAACGGGATTCTCCGTGGTGCAGCGACATGCTTCTTCGCCTTCATTGGTTTCGACTGTATTGCGACCACAGGTGTGGTAGCCCCTCTGTCCGATCAAAGCATGGTCATGGTTTGGATTACCCTAGGACACAGGGCTGGTGGAGGGTCAGCCTGCTTTTGGGAGCATGGGATGGGGAGAGGGTTTGTGTGGTGGCCTGCAAATGTTTCTGACTCAAGGTCTGCTTCGTCCCCGCAGGCGAAGAGGTCCGCTCCCCCCAGCGCGCCATCCCACTGGGCATCGTGACCTCACTCTTTGTTTGCTTTCTGATGTACTTTGGTGTTTCCGCGGCACTCACCCTCATGATGCCCTACTACCAAATTCACACCGACAGTCCCTTGCCCCAGGCGTTTATCCACGTTGGATGGGGTCCTGCTCAGTATGCAGTGGCTGTGGGAACATTATGTGCCCTTTCATCCAGGTTGGTAGCAAAGGTTTCTCTTCTGGATTCTCTTCTGTCCCTGCCCTTGAGAAGGAGCGAAGAGAGGGAGGGGAAATGTCTAAAGGAGCAGGGCCTGCCCATTGTCACTATGGAGAGTCTCCTTTTCCCTTTATAGCCTCATAGGTGCCATTTTTCCTGTGCCTCGGGTGGTCTATTCCATGGCAGAAGATGGGCTCCTGTTCCGGAGACTCGCCCGTGTTCATCCTCGAACACACACCCCTGTCCTAGCCACTGTCCTTTGTGGAATTATCGCAGGTAGACAACCAGCCTTATCAATTTCATCAGCTTGGCTGTGTTCACGAGCTAACACTCCTCATCGTTTCTACACTGTTTTTTCATTCTTATCACTTTAGCACTTATGGCTTTCCTTGTTGAGCTCAGTGACCTGGTGGACCTCACATCCATAGGAACCCTGCTCTCCTATTCCTTGGTGGCCTTCTCTGTTCTGGTCCTCAGGTGAGACTCCTTCGCACTTTGGCTGAGGGTTATGGGGCCATGAAGACAGCCCGATGCTTATCCTGGCTGTCTGTTGGATGCACGGGGGCAGCTGGTCATGTTCTCATGCTGTCTCACTCATTCAGGTACCAGCCAGACCAGAACTTAAACTCTTGTAAGAAGGAGAAATCTGAGAGTGGAGCTGTTGAGATGGAGCTGGCTCTTGAATTTTCTTCATCCATGGAGCCTGTTTCTGCAGCAAGGACTCCAGGAATTGCAAGGAGCCTCTGTATCCCCACAGACACCATCCCAACTCTGAGATCTGGCCAGATTGTCTACAGATGTGCCTCCCTGCTTGGTGAGTGCCAGGACTTTCCCCTTTGGCATTTGGAATCAGACAGCATGTTGGGGACATCATTAGCAGAGAGGGAGACACAGTACAGACAGATTTGGTGGGATGTGGCCCAGGGTCCTGATATGCTTCTCCTCCCCAATTGATTTGCAGTCCTTCTTCTGAAGTTCCTGTGCCTGGTCCTGGCCCAGTGGCCTGGACAGCTGTTCTCTGGAGACCCAGCTTTGATAGCTGTGGCTGTTTCACTGTTGCTTCTCATTGTCGGAGTGGTCATTGTCATCTGGAGACAGCCTCAGAGCACCGCTCCTCTCCACTTCAAGGTGGGTGACTTCCTTTTCTCAGGGAAGCCACCCTAAGAGAGTGGTCATACACGTTCTAAGCATGTTTCACATCACCAGGGAAGGAAGGGGCGGGGAACTGATAAAACCAATGGATAGGCAGGGCACGGTGGTCCTTGTTTGTCTTTAATCCCAGCACTCAGGTGACAGGAGCAGGGGGAATTGCTGAGGGTCCCCCCAACTTCTCCCTTCTCTGCCCCAAGACAGGGTTTCTCTGTGTAGTCTAGTCTTAGCTCACAGAGATCACCACCTCTGCCTCCCTGAGTGCTGGGGTTAAAGGAGTGCACTACTACTTTCTGGCTGGAATCTCTGATTTTGAGGCCAGCCAGGTCAGGTCAGCAGGAGCAACATAGTGATAGCCTGTCTCAGAAACAACCAATCCAATAAACAACTCCCTCCCAATACACCAATGGACAGAGCCGGATGTCACCATGGATGTATGATCCCAGATACTCAGGAGGCCGAGGCAGGAGGATCACACCTTAAGGTCCAGCATAGGCTGCAGCAACTTCTAGGCCAGCTCAGGCAAGTTAGTGAAATTCTGTCTCAAAATAAAAATAATGCAGATATGTTGGTACATGTTTATACTTTTAATCCTAGGGAAGCAGAAGGAGGAAGATCAGGTGTTCAAATGAGTTTGAGATTGACCAGGCTTAGCTGCATGAGGTCCTGTCTCAAACAACCACCCACCCAACCAACCAAACAAAAATAAAACAGTCCCCTTCAACTCCCCCCCCCCCAACAAGAACAAAATCACCCCTCCCCAACCCAAACAAACTAAACCAAAAATCTAACCAAACCCAGAGTGCGTTTCACTCCTAAGTCTGGGAGACGTAACTCAGTGGCAGAGCACTTGCTTAATATGCACGAGGATCCGGATACAATCCCCAGTACTGAAAAAAAGGCTATGAGAATGTAGTCAGCTGGTGGAGCAATAGCCTAGAGTGCATGAAGCCTCGGGCTTAATCCTAGCACTGCAAAAACCAGGAGAGGTGGTGTATAACAGTAATTCCAGCACAGGGGAGCTGCGGATCAGAAGTTCAGGGTCCTCCTGACCCATACATTGAGTTCAAGTTCGGCCTGTGATATTTGAGACCCCATGTCCATGAAAGAAGACATCTGCTCTCAGGTGTGGTGGCATATATGTTTAATCCCAGCACTTGGGAGGCAGAGGCAGATAGATCTCTGAATTTGAGGCTAGCCTGGTGTACAGAGCAAGTTCCAGGATAGCCAGGGCTACACAGAGAAATCCT